TGTGAATGTACCATGTTTTAAATGGGGATAATTGGCGGTAATGGATTGGGTCTTGGTTCCGAACTCTACGGGTGCGTAAAGGATAGTTTTGAAAAATCAGACCCTGACAGGACTGATCCCAGCACTACTATTGTTAATAGATTTAAAACAGGTGTTGGTATAGTGTTTTTAAAGGGTATATTGAAGGATTTATGTTATTAAGGTTTATATAAATGTATCATGTTTATATTTCTAATCACCTGAACTGAGCAGCAGGCACAGTGACAACAAGTAGATTAAGATTTGATGCTTCATGTTAAAGAGACATAATAGCACATACCAGACTGGTTTAAAGTTTGCATGTCACTCTAAATAAGGACAAAACATCAACACAGGAGCCATTGTTTCTGACTCGGGTGGGTCGGACTTCCCGCATGCGTCCTGTGTTCATGCTAATACCGTTCAAACAAAAGCCAAGGCAAGGGGAGCCGAGTGTTCCCGATCCAAAGTAGGTTAAACACAGCTGGTGATCGGGATTAGGCTGATCACTTTCACATGTGACTTCACAGAGGACGACGGCGGACGCCGGAACAGTGAGGAGAGGGGAGGTTAAAAAGAAGCATGCAGTGCTGGAGTCACATTTCCGAAGGGATAAAAGGTGGAGGAGAAAGACGAGCACATGACTGATGGCCTTTGATGCAACCAGATACACTGCTGTAAAATCTCAGCTTGAACTCCTCGCCTCTGTAAGAAAAAAAAAAGAGCTTCTGGCCTCTAAAGACATTCGTGTTTTCACTTGAACTGGAGCAACTTTTAAGTCCCTCAGGCCTCGACGGGATCTACTGAGAGACAGGGATGATATATCAGGAGAGCACGCTTGGCAGGCAGAGTCAGTTTTTCAAACCTCTCATAAAGAAACAAAAACCTTTCAGTTTCAGAATCAAACCAAGGTGATTTAATGGATGGCAAAAACTCCCCCCAATGCGGCAACTTTGGCTGTCAGAGAAATAAAGGGAGGATTTTCAGGCGACATGTACGACCTGTGATTTATTCACCGGTGAAGTTTGGCACCGAACCTCGGCGTGCCTGCTCACCAAGAGCCAAACTGCGCACATAGTAAAGGAAAGACATCAGAGTTTATACGGCATGTCCTGACAGGATCACTGAAACAAGCTCAGTGGCAGGAGTGTTTATCACTGCTTTTTATCAAGAAGAAATTCTACCGTTTGCAAGAGTTTTGGCCTTTGAACAAAGTAAAGCAGAGCGAGTAAAAAAAAGGATTGAGACGTTACTTCAGTGAAAGCAGGAAGAAAATAATCAAAAGGTAAAGAATAAAAATGTCCTCTTATGTGTATTTTTATAGAAAAGATGCAGTGGGGAGGGACTGCAAGCTCTGCCCTGGTGAGTGTGAGGGTGAGCAAAGGATTTCAATGTTTATTTAAGCTCTCAGAAAGCTGTGAGGCAGACCTGCTGTCTGCATGCCGCTTTCACACCAAACAGAGGCCAAATCAGGGTGAAAATGACCCGCTGGGTCGAGCAGGTTGGGTTTCACAGCGACCTCCATGGTGCCGCAATCAAAAACCACAAACATCATCTTTACAGACATGATTTATTTACCGGAATAAGAACACAGTATCTCTCTGCATCTGTTTCCAGTAGAGTTTCCTTATTCTGAAGTATTTAAAATCAGATACGTGGAGTTTTCCTGCTCTAACCGGCCTGACGTCATGTCTTCATTCAGATGGAACTGCTGTCCGGCAGCTCATCATTATACAGACGCATTAGATCAGAAAATCACGCCATACTTAAATAAATATAGCCATAAACCTCTTTCAATGAAGAAAAAAATCATGCCTTATCATCATAACCTTCATCCTGATATTAAATATTATACTTTCTATTAAAAAGGGTCTTTTGGCTTTATATGTAGCTATAGATTTTAGGTCTTAGGTTGATTGAAGGAGACAAAAATAGGCAGATTAATGTTTCATTCTCATTAAATTCCTCTATGTTAAGTTAGAAAGAGAAATAAAAATGCTCTTTTGCTAAATAAATCCCCTCTTTATGAAGCTAGAACAATGTTTTTTATTTAAGGAAAATTCATCCAAACCAACTTTGACCTACATGAACAAAATAAAAACGGTGATTAACTTTATTTTATAGAAAGGTGACTTCTTCATTAGTATCAGAGAGCGTGATTGCTGCCAAACCAGCAGCAGAAAAAAGATCCATAAAAATAATTTAAGACCAGTTGAAAAACAAAGATATAAAGCCATTTTCTTAACTTTGAGGCTCCAGTTACGAGACAAGCCTCAGTTACGAGACATTATCCACAAAATCAGAAAAGAAGGAACAGTGATAAATGTTCTTAGGAGACCAGCCTATCAAAATGACTCCAACAGCGCTTCCATGACTTCTCCAAGAGGTCAAACCAGAGCATCTAAAGCACTGTAGACCTGACTGCCTCAGGTAAGGTCAATTCTGCTTTGCCAAAAATAAGAACATCTTGTATATTCGTAAGACTTATGTGAGAATACTTTGTGGATTGATGAGATTTGTCCTACTTACTTCACATGGGGTTGGTAATGTGATGGTCTGGGGCTGATTTTCCTGCATCTCAACCTTCAAGACAAGCTAAATTGAGGGAAGCAAGACTTCTGCTCTATGCATGGAAATCCTGAAGGAGAATATTCTTCCACCAGGTGCTTTAACTTAAGAATAAATGGTTTATATATCAGGACGTGATGCAAAGCAGATCAGCAAGTCGATCATTAAATCACACAAAGACTTCAACGGCCTAGTCCAGGAGTCTTCAACATTTGCCAAGCGAAGGACCCCTAAACTGATCTTATAGTCACTATATGAAGTAATGTAACAAAAGTAATTTCTCCCTGGGATTATTAAAGTATTTCTGATTCTGATTCCTGGTTGATGGGACAGGTGCTGTGAATGAAACGGTGCCTTGAAAGAGCTCCTGTGTGTCGCTGAATGTGTGCATTGATGACTGAAAGACATCTTCTGCCTCCATTTATCTGTTTACTACAGTGTGTTGAATTCATGTTAATGTGGATTTAAAGACATTTTAATTAGTGGAAAAAATTGCAGGGGGGAATATATGTATAAAAAAAAAAAAATCAAAGTCTGACAACAAATGCAATTAAGGTTGGCAAAGCTTCACCTTAAAGGTGGTATAACTAGTTATTAGGTTTAGGGAGTAAGTCGATTTCCCATTTTTCCATCCCTTAATAACAACAGATTTAAGAATTCAGTCTGTTTGATGATCTTAATTTATAATAGTTAAATGAGGGGGAAAATAGAGGATATCTGGAAGGTTAGGAATAATTCTTCCCCACCGTGTCTAAGCCTTCAATTAAACCTCTTTGCAGCAGGGAATATTTACAAAATCTAAACTAATTAAACAGCTCAACACTGTAGCTGTTTAAGTATTTTATATAGGTGTTTTGATTTTTCTGACCGATAACGTTCCTACTCTCCCAAATAAATGGATCTACTTAAAGGAGTTGAGTTAATGTGTGATCATCACGAGGAAGAGAAAGAATCAGACCGTAAAATTTTAAGACGTCTACAATGGACGAAACCTTTGAAATTAATTATCTGGTTTGGAGTCCCATCGTTTTACAATCGGCTTTTTATGGACAAATTCAGTTTTAGATCATTTTAATTTGTGCCATTTGAAAATACTTCTATTCCAGATTTTATAATCAAAAGACAAAGATGACGCAGAGACCTGACAGGTTTCTAGGTCCAGTTTGGACCTAAATGATAAAACTAGATGAACTAGAAGGGCACAGCTCCTGTCACTGAAGATGGTGGGATTCTTGGTATTCATGGACCCCCTTAGAGCCACTTTTAAAACCATCTTTCCTCACACATTCCAGGCTGTTTTATTTGCTCGATCATCCAAGAACTGAGGAATGTAAGCTGCAGCTGAAGTGCTACTTGAGTTTCCAAAAACATAACAAGAAGGACAGCCATTGCCTCCAAGCATCCTGGCTGGATTGTAATCATTCGTCAGTACGCCAGAGAACCACCAGGAGAAATTCCTATTAATGGAGTGCAACCAATGCGATGTGAGAAACGGTAATGATCCATGAAGGTGCTAAAATTGCATCATTAAGCCTAATGGTGAATTCCAGTGCGGCAGCCTGAGTGTGAGCAGCTCAGCTTCTGGTTTTCTGCTCCTGATCCAGAGTTCCTCGCCTCTAGAAATCACGATCCGTCTTTGGGGTTTCAGGCTCGGCCCGGCAAGGGAGCCACCGGATCTGTGTCCGATCGCAGGGCGCCAAGGCCGTCGAAGGGCGCAGATTACACGCAGTCAGCAGACCACAGGAAACAGGAAAACAGAAACTGCTGCTTCACACCGTTCTCCCAAACCGATAATCGTCTCTTATGGCCGAGTCGGGTTACAGCCCCCGTCTGTCACATGAAAACGACTCCTTCAGGCTCCGTAGGAGTCGCCCACTTTGGGTTTTAATGCAGACGTTGATGCAAAAATAAATCAAAACACCCAGCTTGGTTTCAGAAATATCTGGTGGATGTTATATTCCAAAGAAAAGGAGCTGACCTGAACATTAATCCATGGATTATGACAATTTTAAACCCCAAAAAAATTTTCTTATACCTATTAAACCAGCCCAGAGATCAATTAGTTTATACAAACCTAATCTGTCCTCTAAGATGTGCTTATTTCTGTAGAATAAGCTAAAACTCCTTAAAAGTGGGCCACATGACAAACATCAACATCACAAGTGGACGTTTGTAAAAGTAAAAACTTGGGGCTGCATTCAAAGTGTTGGCTACTTTCCTGCATGCACAAAAGCAAACAAAAGACATCCATTCATGCAATTAATCCAGGCAGGGGAGGGAGGGTGGGGTGGGGGGTGTTGTGAGCTGGAGTAAGCAAGGCGGTGCTGGACAAAAGCAAACAAAACGGTGGTGCAGAACTGAGGTGGAGAGGTTGGAACCTTAACCCGAAAGAACGTCAATTAAACTGCTCTTACCTCCACCATAATATGAAAGGCGTGCTTGTTGGAAAAGGAGCATAGGAAAGCAAAGAAGAGAGATTACTGCTGCGTTCTGTCTGTTAGTGAAGCAGGTTAAACCGAAGGCTGAGCTGCTCCCTCTTCTCAATCCAGGGCTCCAAAGGTTTGACTGGGAACACGCCTTGTGGATCTGGTCATATTTTAGCAGCAGATTTAGCAACTGAAAACCAGCCTCAATGATTGATGGAAACCCAACGAGCATGAATGTTTCACAGATGATGGAAGGAAAAAAAAAAAGCACTTCAGAGCACCATTAATGTTAAACATGCACACATCAGCTTGTCGGATGGAAACAAGAAAAAAAATGGAGACACTCTGGAAAAACCTTTTTTCACATTAGAGCCACACAAAAAATATCTTAAATTTACCGTAGAAAACCTGAAAAGTGTGTTGGGTGACTGGGTAGTTTATTCTCACAACAGAGGTAGAGGTTTTCTATGAGTAAACATGACGTCTAAACAGGTCAGATGAGACCAAAGGACTTAAAGCCATGTGAAACAGAGAGCTAACAGTGGACATTATCCCAAAACATCCCCAAGGGTCATCCAAGGATGCGTTTCATTAGAGCATACAAATGAATTGGTCACAGTTGATGAGATAATGTAAAAAAAAAAAAATCTAAAAATGTAAATACTTCTAATCCTTAAGCTGTAAATATGATTCCAGCAGCATTACGGCGTGACTCACCACAATCAAAGCAGAGATTTTATACAGTTATTTTTTTGGAAATGCAACAGTTTGGGCCTCATTTCTAGAGAAATCTAGTGAAAATTAAGTGGTATAATAAAATGGGAGAGGCAGTTCCAGATGGCATATGGGAAGAGGCTGTGCGTACGGTGAATGGGACTACATCCTGGGCACGTTTAGCCTTAATCCGGTTTAAAACCTTACACAGGATTCCTTATTCTAAAGCTAGACTGGCAGAGATATTTGAGAATGTGGATGAAAATTGTAGTAGATGTCATAATGCCCTTAGAACTTTAACATATATGTTTTTGTCATGGCAATCCTTTGGAGTGTATAAAACGATATCTGAAATCATAGGAAAAGAATGTCAGCCTAAAATGTATACCTCTATTTTTGGAACAATACCACTTGATGGTATGGGTATCTCTAGGTTCAAAGATATAATAGACTTTTCAACTTTGATAGCTAGAAGATTAATTGTTTTACACTGGAAATCCTTCTACACACCAAAATGATCTGAATGGATGTCTGATCTAATGTTGTACCTCAAATTAGAAAAGAAAACCTGGTAGGTTGTAAAGGTTGTAAGTATAAAACAGGGTAGGCAATAATAGGCTTTGCTTCAGGCTATTCCTTTTTTTGGTAAATTTGTGGCTTTGTTCTGCTTTGATATTTTTGTTTTATGTTGGATTATTTGCTAAAAAATAAAGTGAAAGTGAAGTGAAGATTAAATATACACTAAGAGGGTCCAGTGATCGGTTTTATGGTGTTTGGAATCCATTAATATAATATTTTGAAAAGCTGAAGACACTTCCTGAGAATCCCTAAGAGTAATGCATCGGAATCTGATGGCCAAGACCTACATGTATGCATTAGGGGTGGAACGGTTCACAAAATCCACGGTTCGGTTCGGTTCAGTTCACGGTTTCGTGGTCACGGTTTTCGGTTCGGTTCGGTATATGTTGATTGTTAGCCTGACATGTTGGTCATGTTGCTGTTAGCATAAACAAAACGTGTCGCACAATGCTTGCACACTGTTGCACTTTTATCCACAACTTTCTTTCCGCCGTCATCGTAGGTCACTCTAAATGCAAAGTGGTCCCATACAGCAGACCTATAAAGTGCTGCTGGCGCGTCTTCCAACTCCTGTTCTTTCCCACTCGCCATACCCACACAATTCTCCACAACAACTGATTTTTTCTGCTACACCCGGCTACGCTGCTTCGCTTCTTCTTCTTGTTTACTGGTGGTTGGCTTTGGTCGCAGTACCGCCACCTTCTGCTCTGGAGTGTAAACGCTTCGCCTATGAGAAAAAGGAGCAGCGCATGAACCGAACGCAACACACGCGAACCGAACCGAGACAGTCGAACCGAACAGTTTGGACGGTTTTCATAAACTGTTCCATCCCTAGTATGCATATACATTGTTAATTTTTCTTTCTGTGTTTATGATATTCTTTAGTGGTTGTATTTTGTATTTGTAGTGAAGACTGCATTTTTTTTTTTTTTTCCTCTTTGTTTTTTGGTCTAAGAAGTACACTATATTGCCAAAAGTATTTGCTCACCCATCCAAATTATTGGAATCAGGTGTTCCAATCACTTCCATGGCCACAGGTGTATAAATTCAAGCACCTAGGCATGCAGACTGTTTTTACAAACATTTGTGAAAGAATGGGTCGCTCTCAGGAGCTCAGTGAATTCCAGCGTGGAACTGTGATAGGATGCCACCTGTGCAACAAATCCAGTCGTGAAATTTCCTCGCTCCTAAATATTCCACAGTCAACTGTCAGCTGTATTATAAGAAAATGGAAGTGTTTGGGAACGACAGCAACTCAGCCACGAAGTGGTAGGCCACGTAAACTGACGGAGCGGGGTCAGCGGATGCTGACGCGCATAGTGCGAAGAGGTCGCCAACTTTCTGCAGAGTCAATCACTACAGACCTCCAAACTTCATGTGGCCTTCAGATTAGCTCAAGAACAGTGCGCAGAGAGCTTCATGGAATGGGTTTCCATGGTCGAGCAGCTGCATCCAAGCCATACATCACCAAGTGCAATGCAAAGCGTCGGATGCGGTGGTGTAAAGCACGCCGCCACTGGACTCTAGAGCAGTGGAGACGCGTTCTCTGGAGTGACGAATCGCGCTTCTCCATCTGGCAATCTGATGGACGGGTCTGGGTTTGGCGGTTGCCAGGAGAACGGTACTTGTCTGACTGCATTGTGCCAAGTGTAAAGTTTGGTGGAGGGGGGATTATGGTGTGGGGTTGTTTTTCAGGAGCTGGGCTTGGCCCCTTAGTTCCAGTGAAAGGAACTCTGAATGCTTCAGCATACCAAGACATTTTGGACAATTCCATGCTCCCAACTTTGTGGGAACAGTTTGGAGCTGGCCCCTTCCTCTTCCAACATGACTGTGCACCAGTGCACAAAGCAAGGTCCATAAAGACATGGATGACAGAGTCTGGTGTGGATGAACTTGACTGGCCTGCACAGAGTCCTGACCTCGACCCGATAGAACACCTTTGGGATGAATTAGAGCGGAGACTGAGAGCCAGGCCTTCTCGTCCAACATCAGTGTGCGACCTCACAAATGCGCTTCTGGAAGAATGGTCAAAAATTCCCATAAACACACTCCTAAACCTTGTGGACAGCCTTCCCAGAAGAGTTGAAGCTGTTCTAGCTGCAAAGGGTGGACCGACGTCATATTGAACCCTATGGATTAGGAACGGGATGTCACTTAAGCTCATATGTGAGTCAAGGCAGGTGAGCAAATACTTTTGGCAATATAGTGTATATGTGTATATAAATGACTCACTAATGTTTTATTACTTTTTGATCTTGTGGGTAGATGCACAGTAGTTCTGAGGGGTCAGGGGAGGGGGGTGTAATTTGTAATGTTTAAAAAAAAAACTTATCTTGAGCCAAGAATGTAACTAATGTTTGTTTTGTGTTTGATAAAAAGAGATTTAAAAAACAAAACAAAAACAATACTTTGCCATTTTGATGATTTCAGAAAACATGCGAGTATTTTCCACAAACCAAGTACCTCTGACTTTGGTACTAACTCAGGTTTTATACAGGTATGACTAATTTAATTCTTTTTAATGCTCTTAGAAATAATTTTAATGCCATCACCAGGTAGCCATGGCTCTAATATTATATATATATATATATATATATATATATATATATATATATATAAACACGGCAAAATCCTTCATCATCATTTCCGTTGACAGGCTGCAGCAATGTCCCTAATTCCTTGTTTTCCACCCACTTTTGTTGAAATTCGCATTTTCCCTATTCTCCATTTTCTTTCTACCTCGAGCTTCTTTTCCGAACATATAGCTTTACGATCCACCGGAGGTAGTTCCGCACAAACACGCAGAACCAGTTATATCTGATATATCTGACAAAATTGTTTTAATAAATTTTTTTTTTTTTTTAAATAAAGCATTTTTAATGCCACGATATTCACATTTAATTACTTTTAATACCAATTAAGGCCTTAATTTGAAAAAATTTTAATTTAATGACGTTTAATGACCCGCGGAAACCCTGTAACCTAAAACCTCTCCATTCGAAGCAGGCTTGCATTGACCCACGACATAATAGCAAGGATTGGTTTATTACAACAAAAGCTTCATATTCTGACTGAATTCACTTTGGAAATGTACATTTAAAGCAAAGCCTTGATTAATTAATCAATGTAGTCATTTAATAAACATTTCAATGAACTATTTGGTCAAATTATTACTAAAACTGTATGTTTTTAAATAACCTTTTTGTGCTAAAGCACAAACTGAAAGTCAGTAGCAGATCATCTAACAAATCCAAATTATGCTGACGTTCACATGGCATGAATAGATTTCCATTCTTAAAGTGAATTAAAACTAATTTGTGACGCTTTCATCATGAGTACAAAGTAAAAATAACAATTCAATAAATAAATAATATTAGGATTATTTTACAAATGTGATGCATTCATCTCTAATTACACTGAAAATGTCACTTTTTAAACTTATTCTATTTATGGCACCTTTGGCTTTCCGTACATGTGATCTTTTAGGTTCTACAGCAAGAACTTTGTATCCACAGCCGCTCAGCTCCACCCTGATGCCGCAGGTGCGGAGGCGCCGGGCTGTTGCGTCAGTCTAGAACTGGAAGACGTGCAGCATCTAAACGCTACCCACTGGACTGGTCCTAAATATCACTTCAGCTAGCAAAGTTTAGGAGACAGCATGCTGTCTGTAGGTGAATCCGAAGCTAGCTGCAAGAGTTGGATCCTCAGGATAGAATTAT